TAGTTGCTTCCCCAAACACTTAGGATCAATTATACCCTCAATATACAACCAATATAACTCGAAAAACAACTCGGAAACATGAATCAACTCACCCCGAGCATCAACAACTCAACCAACAAGAATTCTACAATTTGTTCTTCAAGAACCTTACTTCTTCAACATGTACACAACTCAAAATCAATGGATTGAAACAAGTGTGTGGTTGAACTAACCCAACACGAAATATCTCACATACCTTAATAGGGATCACCCCCGATGAATTCCACTCGCAAGCTTGGATGATCTTGACGGATTTTTGCCTTTTCTCCCTTTCTTTCTTCTTTTCTCTCTTCTCCAAGCCCTAAGCGTATTTCTCAATTCTCCAAACTGACTAAGTCATGTTTTACCCCAATGAATGCCTAAAATCAAATTAGAAAATTAATTAGCGAAAAGACTACTTTGCCCTTCCCTAAATTCGGATTGGGACTTTTCTCAATCCAACATCCCAACTTTCGAAAGGCATATCTCACTCATACGATGTCGAAATCGTGCAATCTCGGCGGTGTTGGAAAGATCTCTCCAAGGGAATTCCAACCATATCAAGAGCTGCTCCTAAATCCTCCTGAGCTAGGAGTTATGGCCGTTTGAAAATGGCCAAAACTCACTTTCTTAACTTAGACAAAATTTCCAGATTTCCTTATTCTTTCCATAAATCAATATTTTCATATTTTGAATTCTTTATAGTCCTTTCTAGGTGTGAGATATTACAATCAGGTTCGCGTAGTTCGTGCAGATATGCCTTTGAAAATATGCACAAACTATTTGATTTTTTATTTTTATTTTTATTTTATTTTATATAGCTTAAAAGAATGAATACCGAACCCAAGAAGGGTTGCGTACGTATCTCACCGAGATGAGAATCAAGTTCGCGTAGTTCGTGCAGATAAGACATAAAACAATTTTAGGATTTAGACAAACTCAAAGCGATTTCTTGTATCCTCCTAACTGTCGCTCTTTGCACTGTCCGTTGAATGTGGTCTCCTAATTTTACAGTAACCACTTGTTGTTGTATTCTTTTTTGGATGTCTCTTCGAATTGTGTGTTCTCCCAATTATTCACAAGAACTATACATTATTATCACTATCCCCAACTGTTGTCGAGGGCGATTTCCCTGCAAAAATATGAGAAAAGTGTGAAAGCAAGACCATAATAATAATAAAAAATAAATAAAGGAGTGTAAGTTCATAGTCAAGGACTCCCCTGATTTATCATTTTTGACTGATTATTCATGTCCTGTGAAATCCAAAGACTCGAATTTCACGAGTCCTCCCGTTCCTTGCAATTTCAGATGAGAAATAACCTTCAAATTCTAACACTAATCAACCTCTCGCTAGAAAGGAAGAAAAACTCAAAAGATAAAAGTGTTAGTTTGTGTTTATAATGAATAATGTAAAATATCACACAAAGAATTAATTAAACATATAAGCACTACTTTGATTAAAGACAAACTCAATTATATCACATAACATACAAATAATTATTGTGCGCTCTATACAAATATGTGACCCTTTTGTGCCAAAGGTAGGCCTATCGATCTGAAGGATGTATTACGTCATTTGACAACATTTGATTGTCCCCCAAAATAATTAGTACAAATTTTATGAATAATTCAAATAGGATTACAAAATAAGGAAAAAAGGATACCAATAACCAATCTCACACAGGGGTATCATCCTAAACTAAGTCTTTGTGGGAGGTACTTCCTCTTGAGCTTCTTGTCATCTCTGAATGTCAACACCTTTTGAATGAAATGGTAACCTGTAAAGATCCTTCTTCGACTAGAGTAAGCTATTAAATAAACCCCAACCTCGAGTGACAATGATTTGCCAAATGTCGTATGATCCTTTAAATTTAAGCACATAAGTATGATTGTCCTTTATTGACCAATGGGCCAAATAGACACAAGGTGGGCTTCTAATGAGCCCAACACACCTTGGGTGTTGGGTCAACTTAGTTCAAAATGCGCTAAATTCGGGATTTGGTTTCACTCAACACTAGTTGACTAAGACTGGCTTCTGAAAGACCGAGAACCCAAGAAGACAACTTAGGCTGGAACTCACGATAACCATTCGACGCATGACGTACCAATAAATTACCGATCATTCCAAAAAAAGGTCGACTATAAAGAACTCGGCCGCAATTATGCAGAAACCGTTCTTAATATACTATACATACAAGTTGGAAAATGTCATGAATGCAATGACAATATACATACAATTAAATGAATAATGAATAAACAACAAGTACAATATACAAACAATCAACAAAATATACAAGATACAAGATATAATACAATAAAACAAAAGTCTCCTCAATTTGATAAAATAAACTCATAATGGTTAGAACATGTATGTCCACAGTGGAGTCGTCATTCTGTTTACATCCCTACTTCATTCAAATACGGAGAAACGTCATGTTGACTCGAAAAATAATCAATTGAGTCGATTTTAAAAGAATTTCAAGAATAAATGGGTTTTAAAGAAGTCGCCACCTAATTTTAGGAAAAACTAGGAAACCAATTAAATGATCTACGAAACCATTAGATTCTAGGTAAGGGGTTCAAGTTATTCCAAAGGAAAAATGTTAGGCATCCTTCGAAATCCATAATTGTGGATCCCGACTGAGTTTATTTTTTCAAATTGAGGAAGAGATAAACAATATACAAATAAAACAAACATGCGATATACACAAGTAGTAAAACAAAATAATAATATCAAAAACGACCTAAGGTTTGTCTAACATCAACATATACACAATAATGAATAAAAAATATAATTCGAACTCTATTCGATTAGCATCAAATGGGAAGCGAATTTGGGGTACCTGTAAAGACACTTAGTAAAAGTGTTAGTAATAAAAAAAATATGAATAAAAATGAATAACTCACATAATAACTTAAAAATAAAAGCCCTTCTTAACAACATGAGAGACCTTGAAAATCGACGGTAATTTCTTCATCGGCCAATTTTAACAAACAAAATATATAAACTTCAACTAAATTTTCATCTTTAAAAATGAGGAGGCCTCAAAAACAGACGGAGAGATTTTTTCATTGGTCAATGTTAACTTATAACAATAATACTAACTACTAAAACGTAGAATAGTGAAACAATGAAGACAAACCCACATGAACAGTGGAATAAGAACAATTAACCCAATAATACAATCAATAAAGTTTTAGTAAAGGATAGATACGTAAAGTAAAAAAAAATTAACAAACATCAATAAAAAATTATAGATAAGATTGACAATAATTTAAAACAATAGTAAGACAGTAGCAACCAGAACGTGTTACTCATTAATGAAACATTGTAAATTGTACACCATATATTCAACAAAAATAAAATTAAAATCACCTAGCTAAGTGTAGAAAGCAAAGAATTAAAAATAATAAAAGTTCAACTTAAACAGAACAAGCAAAGAGACAATGGCATCCAAATGAAACTAAAGATGCAGATCTGAAAATTTGGAAACTAACAAAAGTTCAACTTAAACAGAACAAGCAAAGAGACAATGGCATCCAGGGGCGGACCCACGTGTTGCCGAGGAGGTACCCGAACCCCTTCAAAAAAAAATTACACTGTATATATAAGGTGAATTTTCTGGATTTATGTGGATATATATATTTTGAACCCCCTCAATGACAAGGTGAAGGAGATAGCCTAGTGGCAGCTCCCTTCAAAGTTAAGCTTGACGTCCAGGGATTGAATCCCTGGGTTAGCGTTTTATTTTTTAGTTTTTTACTTTCAGTTTTTTTTTTTGTTCCAGTTCCGATTTTAATGTTTTTTTTTTTTTTAATAAAACGTGCTAAAATGTGGTGTTGAACCCAAAAAATTCAAGGGTCCCAACTCCCATACTCCCATAATCCCATTCCTAAAAGCTAATAACTTTTTCACTTTTCAAATCCCTAAATCACTTTCTTGTTCTTCCCCAACTCAAAACTCAAATATTAAAATCATCTCCTATAATATTCTATTGTTGATTGTTTCATACTTGATACTTCATGCTTGAATCTCACATTCAATTCGAAATGAAAAATCAAAACTCATGCTTATTGCTTAAAAGGTAAAAGTTTTTTTCTCTTCTTCTTCTTTTCTTTCAATTTTCAAGAAATTAAATGGGTCTTTATTTTTTAACGTTGTAGGCTTGTAGTATCTTTGATTATCTAAAGTGGAGGCTCAAAGCTAAAATTAAAAGGGTTGATTGTTTGTCTTTTCTCCAAGGTAAGCTTTTCTCTCAATTTTCTTGAAAAGTTCATCTTTCTTTATTGAATATTGACTATCTTCATTTTAAATTGTGAAATTTTTTTGATTGTTTTTTTCTATTCTTTCTGTGATAGTCGTAACTAGATTGATGAACCATTTGAATTTTGATGGTAATATCTAATGTAATTTGTAAAAAGTTATCTTTAATGCATTTAACAATTAACTATTTTGTATAGATTCATAGTCAATGGAGAAGTACTTTTTTAAAGTATCAAATTCAAGTTCTATTACTCAGAATCAACCTAACCGGGAAGAAAATGATAACCATTTGGAAGTACCATCACACTCTTCTCAAGAATTTGATTTAAGTTCTTTAAAGGCTGATCCAGGTGAAAGAACTCAAATCTTGGAATTTCATCCAAATCACCGTGACGCTATTAGAAGAGCGTATCTCCAAAAAAAACCTTGTCAACCTCTATTAAGAGAGTTTCCACAAACAAACATTTTTGGAGATGTGCGTCGTTTTAATCATAAATGGTTTGATGAATTTCATGATTGGTTAGAGTATAGTATAAGTAAAGATACAGTCTTTTGTTTGTATTGTTATTTATTCAAGCAAAATAACAATCTTCAAGGCGGAGGTGAAACATTTTCGAGTGTGGGGTTTAGAAGTTGGCATAAAAAAGCTAGTTTGCAACACATGTTGGTGGGCATACTAGCATTCACAATCAGTCAAAAAGAAAATGTGAAGATCTAATGCGACAACAACAATCCATACATGCTTCATTTGAGAAACAATTTAATCAAGATAAGCATGGGTATCAAATCCGCTTAGCAGCTTCAATTGATGTAGTAAGACTTCTTGTAAAACAAGGCTTGGCATTTCGAGGTCATGATGAATCTAAATTATCACTTAACAGAGGTAATTTTCTTGAGATTCTTTCATTTTATGCCCAAAAGTGTGATGAAGTTCATAAGTTTGTATTGGAAAATGCTCCTCAAAATGACCAAATGACTTGTCCAAAAATTCAAAAAGATTTTGTAATTGCTTTCAAGATTGAAACAATTAAGGGCATCATAAAGGAACTAAATGGTGATTATTTTTCCTTATTGGTTGATGAATCTTTTGATGTTTCACGCAAGGAGCAAATGGCGGTTGTTTTACGATATGTTGATAGAAGAGGATTTGTGATGGAGAGACTTCTTGACATTGTTCATGTTAAAAATACTAGTGCTTTATCTCTAAAAGAAGCAATTGTCAATTTACTTTCTCAACATTCCTTGAGTCTATCTTATGTGCGTGGACAATGCTATGAAGGAGCAAGTAATATGCAAGGTGATATCAATAGCCTTAAGATGTTGATTAAGAAAGAAAGTAGATCGGATTATTCCATACATTGTTTTGCTCATCAACTTCAATTAACTCTTGTTGGTGTTTCTAAAAGATGTCTTCAAGTTGGAGAACTTGTTCATTTGGTTTCAAATATTTTTAATGTTTTGGCGGCTTCTTATAAACGTATGGATGATTATCGAGAATCTCAAAAAAAAAAAATCAAGAAGCTTTTGATATGGGTGAGCTTAAAACAGATAGAGGCTTGCATCAAGAAGTTGGTATTTCTAGAGCTTGCGATACTCGTTGGGGATCTCACTTCAAATCTTTTAATTGTTTTATTCTCAAGTTTGGTACAATTATGGACATTCTTGATAATATTGTTGAAACTGCACATTCTGTGGATGAAAGATCCAGGACAACACGATATATCAGAATTGCTCAAACTTATGAGGTTGCATTCATGTTGCATTTGATGAAAGAAGTTTTAGGAATTACTAATGATCTTAGTACATGTTTACAAAAAAAAGGAGCAAGACATTGCAAATGCCATGCTACTTGTTAAAGTGGCCAAGAGAAGGCTACAGGAGTTGAGGGAAAATGAAAGATGGGATTTATTTGTTGTTGAGGTTTCTACATTTTGTATCAAGTATAATATTGTGGTGCCTAGTTTTGATGAGCCGTATGTTAATTCTGGAAGATCACGGCGTAAATCTGCTGATTATACTGTTTTTCATCATTATCGTGTTGAAGTATTTTGTAAAATAATTGATTGGCAATTGCAAGAACTCAATGATCGTTTTGATGAGGTAACAACCGAGTTGCTTTATGGAGTTGCTTGTTTGAATCCGGTAGACTCATTTTCAAGTTTTGATATCCAGAAAATAATGAGAATGGCTGAATTATATCTTGATGACTTTGATGAACTTAGCATGTGTGCACTTGAGAATCAACTAGCAAATTACATTATTGATGTCTGTGATATCGATAAAAGGTTCTCTGATTTACATGGGCTTTGTGATCTTTCAAAAAGATTGGTTCAGACAAAAAAACATTCATGTTATCCTCTTGTATTTCGTTTGGTGAAATTCGCTTTGCTTTTGCCAGTTGCCACTGCATCCGTTGAAAGAGCTTTTTCGGGAATGAAATTTATTAAGAATGAATTGCGAAGTCGAATGAATGATGACTTCTTGAGCGGTTGCATGGTTCCTTTTATGGAGAAGGATGTGTTTAAGGATGTTTCAACGGATGATATTATTTTGTCTTTTCAAGCAATGAAACCTCGTCGAATAGTATTGTAAACGTGCTTGAGAAGTATTAGCATTGACCTCTTTTTGGAGTTTGTAGTTAGCACTCTAGTCCTAGAGTGAGACATTACGAAGTGCTAATTTTTTTTGTTCTAGTTATCTCCATTTTTTGCTCTACTTAGCATCCTAGTTCTAGATTGACATATTGTAAAGGGCTAACTTTTTATTTCACGTTAATCACTCATGTTAGTTTCGGATTTCTTGTAACAAAACTAACTTTTTGTACCTATAAACTATATACTACTACTTCCTTGAAATTTTATTTTGTTGGCTTATTTACACGTTTATACTTTTATTTTTCGAACCCCCTGAACGAAAATTCTGGGTCCGGCACTGATGGCATCAAAAATAAAATATTAGCAGTAACACACCACCACAATTATATATGAAGGAGCAAAGTAAATTGGTATGCAAAAATAAAATAAAAGAATAAATAAACAAAGAGGATAAAGATTTGTATTACCATTTGAAGTTTGCCAGATTTAACGTTGCAGCAGCTGGTTGTTTACCGGAGTTGGAGTCTGGAGCTTCGAGTTTTGTTTGTCGTCATTCTGGCGTGGTCACGGTTTGCTGGAGCTTAGAGCTCATGCAGGAAATGACTGAGCTTCGAGTTCATCGTTAATGGCTGCTTCGAGTTCATGGTTGTTGGTGGAAAAAATGGTGGTTTCACAAGAAAAATGGGAAAAACAAAATGGGGTTTTGGTGGTGGACTCGCTGGATTTCAGCGGAACTTCGGCGATTTGTCGAAAAATAATTGAACAATTGAAGAATATAAAAGTATATAAATTACACCCCTAAAATCTTATTCACCACCCCTTTTATTTTTAATCTAATCAAAATTTATATAGGAAATAATTTTACAATGAGCTCAAATTGTGGCTTGAGATTATGACCCAAAATTGTTGCTTTAATAAAATATATGTATTTGAATGAATTTCTAAACTGTGAAAAATATTAAAATGAATATTAACAAATAAAATGAATATTAATTTTTTTTTAATGAACGTAACTAACGACATGTAAAAATGCAATTTTAAATAACTGATAAAAAATCCTAAATTTTGATAAATAAGGATAGTTATCCATAAACTTATTAAAATTATAAAAAAAATTATCTTGAACTATTAAATAAATAATACTTAAAAGTTACGAATTTTGAAAATGTTAGGCCAAAATTGGGTGTCAACATTGAGCAGTTTAGTGTACTATTTTCAAAGTATTTATCTTGAATAAAATCTTCCCCTAAGTAAGAAGGTCAGGCCAAGGGTTCGCTTGGGGCCAGCAATGGTTCTCGAGTGCCAGTCCCTCCCAGAGTGTAGGCTCGGGAGGTGACAAACTTGGTATCAGAGCATAGAGTCGAAGAGTCCTAGGGAGTTTATAAAGCTGTGTCTGTAGAGTCCTAGTTATCGGTGTGAAGTACACCACATCTATAATTAGGAGGCTGCAACATTTAGGAATTTTTTCACTTCTTTCATACTCATTTCGTTTGTTATAGTTTATCTCTAAAAATATTCTTTTTAATTAGTGTTTGCGTGTGTTTTACAGTTAATCATGCTTCTACGAAGAGCTGTTAGAGGTCGTCCTGCTAGGCATAATGTTGAGGAGCAAGGGGTACCTAATGCACCTAAAGTGCAACCCCAAGGAGAAGTTACTAATGTTGAGTTCAGGGAAGCAATAAGGATCCTAAGTCAAGCTCACACTAAACAGGTTGGGCAACAAAGAGGGGCTCGACAATAAGAGGCTGACACTTCGAGGATCCACGAATTCTTGAGGCTGAACCCTCCAAGTTTAACTGGTTCAAGCACTACTGAGGATCCAGAGAACTTTATTGAGGAGCTGCAAAATGTATTTGATGTCATGCACGTTGCTGATACTGAAAGGGTGGAATTAGATGCATACCAACTGAAGGGTGTCGCTAGGATTTGGTTCGATTAATGGAAGAAGAACCGAGCTGAGAATGCACCACATTTGAGTTGGGTTTGTTTTGAGAAGGCCCTCTTGGGCTGTTTCTTTCCCCGAGAACTGAAAGAGGCTCAGGTACAAGAGTTTCTCACACTTAAACAGGATTCTTTGAGCATTCATGAGTATGGGTTGAAGTTCACCAAATTATTCCGTTATGCTCTGGAGATGGGTGCGAATATGAGGAGTATATGAGCTTGTTTGTTGCTGGGTTGTCTCGTCTGTCGAGTAAGGAAGGTAGGCTGCAAAGCTACTAGGTTACATTGATATATCAAGGTTGATGGTCTATGTGCAGTAGGTTGAGGAAGAGAAGCTAAGGGATAGAGAAGAGTTTAAGAACAAGAGACCTAAGACAAGGAATGAGTACGGGCAGCAGAAGAGTAATGCCAATCGTTCATCCTTCCAACAGAAACAGAAGGGTCTTGCTCTATCATCTGCTAGTGCACCTACACCTAAGAACAAAAGTGAGTACAATAGTTAGAATTTCAGAGCCAAGCCTGCCTATTCTCAGGGTAGTATGGCGCAAGGGGGTAATAAGCCTCCTGCCTACGCTAAGTATGGTAGGAACCACTCAGGTACATGTAGTGAGGGCTCCACTGGTTGTTTCAAGTGTGGACAGAATGGTCATTTCATGCGAGAATATCCAAAGAACAAGCAGGGTAGTAGTAATGGGGGCAATAGAATCCAGTTTTCTTCAGTTGCTCCACCAGACAAAGCTGCACCTAGAGGGGCTACTTCCGGTACTGGCGGAGGATTAAACCGCCTATATGCTATCACAAGTCGCCAAGAACAAGAGGATTCGCCAGATGTTGTTACTGGTATGATCCAAGTCTTTAACTTTAATGTTTATTCTTTGCTAGACCTATGAGCGAGTTTATCCTTTGTAACTCCATATGTTGCGATGAATTTTGATGTTATTCCTGAGTAACTTAGTGAACTCTTCAGTGTTTCTACACCTGTTGGTGAGTCTATTCTAGCAGAGAGTCTATCGTGATTGTCCCATTTTCATCAATCACAAGAGTACCATGGCTGATTTAATTGAGTTAGACATGGTAGATTTTGATGTCATTCTTGGTATGGACTGGCTTCATGTTTGTTATGCCTTAGTTGATTGTAGAACTCGAGTTGTCAAGTTCCAGTTTCCAAATGAGCCAGTCTTAGAGTGGAAAAGTAGTTCAACAGTGCCTAAGGGTCGTTTCATTTCGTACCTTAAGGCAAGGAAGTTAGTTTCTAAGGGGTGTATCTATCACTAAGTTCGAGTTAATAACTCTAGTGTTGAGATACCTCATATTCAGTCAGTTGCAGTTGTAAAAGAGTTTCCAGAAGTCTTCTAGATGATCTTCCCGGAGTCCCTCCTAAGATAGACTTCGGTATAGACCTTCTTCCAGATACTCATCCTATATCTATTCCTCCATACACAATGGCACCAGCAGAGTTAAACGAGTTGAAGAAGCAGTTGAAAGATCTCCTTGATAAGGGTTTTATTCGACCAAGTGTCTCACCTTGGGGTGCTCCGGTCTTATTTGTGAGAAAGAAAGATGGTTCCCTTAGGATATGTATAGATTACCGCCAAGTGAACAAGGTTACTCTTCCACGAATTGATGCTCTTTTCTATCAGTTTCAGGGTGCTACTTGTTTCTCTAAGATAGATCTTATATCAGGATACCATCAGTTGAGGGTAAGGGAATGTGATATTCCAAAGACAGCATTCAGGACCATTATGGTCATTATAAGTTTCTAGTCATGTCCTTTGGTTTGACCAATGCGCCTACGGCATTCATGGACCTTATTAATAGAGTATTCAAACCTTATTTAGATATGTTTGTTATCATCTTCATTGATGACATACAAATCTATTCAAGGAATGAAGAAGATCATGTTAGCCATCTCAGAATAGTTCTTCAAACTTTGAAAGATAAGGAGTTGTATGCCAAGTTCCCTAAGTGTGAGTTTTGGCTTGAGTCTGTGGCATTCTTAGGCCACATTATGTCTGGAGAGGGAATTAAAGTTGATACTCAGAAAATTGAGGCAGTGCAGAATTGGCCTAGAACCACATCTCCAACTGATATTAGGAGTTTCTTGAGTTTAGATAGCTATTATATAAGGTTCGTAGAGGGGTTCTCATCTATTTCGTCTCATTTGAAAAAGTTGACTTGGAAAACTATGAAGTTTCAATGGACTGAAGCTTGTGAGAAAAACTTTCAAGAATTGAAAAAGAGGTTGATTATTACCCAGTATTGACCTTACTAGAAGGTACGCAAGTCTTTGTTGTCCATTATGATGTGTCTAGAGTTTGGTTTGGGTTGTGTGTTAATGCAAAATGGCAAGGTTATAGCTTATGCCTCCAGATAGTTGAAAGTTCATGAGAAGAATTACCCAACCCATGATCTAGAGTTGGGTAATATAGTGTTTGCTTTGAAAATATGGCGTCATTATTTGTATGGGGTTCATGTTGATATATTACTAATCACAAGAGTCTTCAATATGTGTCCACTCAGAAAGAGCTTAACCTCAGACAAAGGAGGCGGTTAGAATTACTCAAGGATTATGACGTGAGTATTCTTTACCATCCATGTAAGACAAATGTTGTTGCTGATGACTTAAGCAGGTTGTCTATGGGTAGTACCACCCATGTTAAGGAAAAAGAGAGAGAGTTAGCGAAAGATGTGCATAGACTTGCACGTTTGGGAGTTCGACTAATAGATTCCATAGAGGGAGGAGTGGTGGTGATGAATAAGGCTGAATCATCATTAGTGTCAGAATTGAAAGAGAAGCAAGACCAAGATCCTATTTTGCTTGAATTGAAGGCAAATGTTCATAAGCGAAAAGTAATAGCTTTTGAACAAAAAAGAGATGGCGATTTGAGGTATCAAGGTAGATTGTGTGTACCAAGGGTGGATGAACTCCAATAGAGGATCATGGATGAAGATCATAGCTCCAGATATTCCATTCATTCGGGTTCCACAAAGATGTATCGCGATTTGAGAGAAGTTTATTGGTGGATTAGTATGAAGAAGGGCATTGCAGAGTTTGTTGCTAAGTGTCCGAATTGCCACCAAGTTAAAGTAGCCATCAAAGGCCCGGTGGTATGGCTCAGAATATAGAAATTCCAGAATGAAAGTGGGATATGATTAATATGGATTTCATCACAGGTTTACCAAGGTCTCGCAGGCAGCATGACTAAATTTGGGTGATTGTCGATAGGATGACAAAATCAACCCACTTTTTGCCAGTAAAGACCACCCATACAACAGAAGACTATGCCAAGTTGTATCTTCAAGAAGTGGTTAGACTTCATGGGGTTCCGGTCTCCATTATTTCAGACAGAGGTGCGCAATTTACTGTGCAAGTTTAGAAGTCATTCCAAAAATGCATGGGTTCAAAGGTGAACTTAAGCACTGCCTTTCATCCTCAGACAGATGGACAAGCAGAGCGTACTATCAGACCTTAGAGAATATGTTGGGGGCTTGTGTGATTGATTTCAAAGGTAATTGGGATGATCACCTACCTCTTATTGAGTTTGCTTACAACAATAGTTACCACTCTAGCATCCAAATGGCACCTTATGAAGCTCTTTATGGGAGAAGATGCAGATATCCTATTGGAAGGTTTGAAGTTGGTGAAGCAGGGTTGATAGGACCAGATTTAGTTCATCAAGCTATG